AAAGAACGGAGGGCATGCTTATCAAATTTGCAGAAGACACCAAAATAGGAGGATTAGCTAATACCCCAGTGGGCACCTCCTCACTTGTGACGTGGGACACGGGTGTTTCTGTTTTGAGGGATCAGCTCCCCATTCCATGAACTTGTAACAAAACAGAGCCTTGGGGACCTAAAGGCAGGTAAGGTAGGATCAGTTGTCCTGAAGTTGGAAGAGAGGGCTGCAACACAAACATGGGAGGAATCTTGCTTTCTTGAGAAAGTTTGTCACCCGCCTCATAATCCATTGTGCCTTGAAAAGATCCCATCATACTTAGTGCAGGCCCTGTGCTAATTTTTTAGTCTTTATTGTTCTCTTTGGAGAAGGAATCTTGACTTATGGGGCTGTGGGACAGAGAAGGAGAGATCAGGGTAATTTTATCCTGCTCTATGATCTCTCTTCTGGCAGGAGCTGGTGGATCAGTTCTCTATCCCCTTTCAAAGGAGCTCAGGGTCAACAGGGCAAGCAAGTACTGCCCGCCCAGGGATTACATGGAGCCCCAAGACATCTGTTAATTCCTCGTCCTTTCGTGCCTTTCCCTTTTCTATTTACAGCACCCTAGCATGGGTCTCGCTACCGTTCCTGCCCCAAAAGGGACTCTTGGGTGTCATGGAACAGGTTTGGGGGATCTAGCTTGAATCCTGGGTCTGCCTTTTTGCATACTGTCCAGTTTTTTTCGATACAGGAGGTGCTAATGTTAACTGGTCTAAATAAAAACCAGAGAATTGGTGTCAGGATGTGACCCAACGAGGGCCAGACTGTGACAAATGTTGCTGTTATAATATTGATATGTCTAAGTTGTTAACATTCAGTCCTATATGCTACTTGTGTAATGGTGAGATTTTAGTGCACAGAGAGTTGCAACAACCACACCCAAGGCTTACTTTCGCTATGCAGAACATCACATACACACACACGCCTAGAAAGAGTCTTCTAGTAGCACTAGCAAGACTTTAAAGACTAACACATTTTATTTAGCACAAGCCAAATAATCCCAGTGGACTGCAGTCCATAGAGGCTTGTGCCCAATAAAACCTGTTAAGTCTTTAACACTTTGCAAGACACTTTGTAGTTTTTGCTGCAACAGACTGACACAGATATTCCCCATACATGATAGAAACTAAAAGATTGCTAACTCATCTCTGTGGAAAGTGAAGCACACTGAGACAGACAGACAGACAGACAGACAGACAGACAGACTCCTGAAATTAGAAAAGTGCTAAGCAGATCAGTTCTTCAACCCACACTATATTCTTTACTGGTATATTTGATAAGGAAATGTCCACATAGTTGTTTAACTCCAGGTTAAGATTTAGTTCTCTACACATCACATACAATCAAAGGGGACTGGAGACTTCATTTATATATCTTGTCTTTGCCAGAAACAGAAACAGTTTTTGGTTCTAAGATAAATACTAGTGTGGATGTAGTAAGTCGGAATGTAGCACAGTTCTCTAGATCGGACTAGAGCAGAGCTTCTCAAACTGTGTAGCTCACAAGTGTCACTAGCTAGGTTACACAAGCTTACTAGCTGGATTTCACTATGAGGAGTTGTGTCCTTCTTCCCTTTTCTAGGGACTTTTCTTCAGCTCTCAGTGGACCATCCCACCAAAGTGGTACCTATTTATCTACTTCCATTTGCATGCTTTCGAACTGCTAGGTTGGCAGAAGCTGGGACTAGTGACAGGAGCTCACCCCATCATGCGGCACTCAGGCCTTGAACTGCCAACCTGCCGATCTGGCAATCAACAAGAGTCAGTGTCTTAACCACTTGAACCACTGCCTCTCTATATATTAGATTAGCACTAAATGAAAAATAAATTTTAAACTTTTTCATTGTTAACTACTAATGTGATATCTTAGTGATTTCTCTTGCAGGGAGAGAAACAGTAGGGCTTCACTTATTTACAGGTAGGTCCAGCGTGTCATAGTACTTTAAGCGTTGGACTACAACTCTGGAGACCAGGGTTCGATTCTCTGCTTGGCCATGAAACCTACTGGGTGAACTTGTGCAAGTCACAAGCTCTCAGCCTCAGGGGAAAGCCATAGCAAACCTTCTCTAACAAATCTTGCCAAGAAAACCCCATGATATGTTTGCCTTAGGGTCATCATAAGCCGGAAATGATTGAAGGCACATCACATACACACCGAAAAGATGAACAAGTTTATAGGCAAGTCTTTCATCTGCTTAAGAAGCATGGCTCTAGATTAATGTGCATTACTTACTGTCCCCACTATACAGTAAAAGATTGGTTCCCTATCCAGTGTTGTAGTGGTAAGCCAATAGGCTTGTTCTCAAAAAAGCGATTAAAAGTCGTTAGTTTTTTGAAGGACTTGCTCCTGGTAGAGATGAAATCTGCTAGAGCTGGTTTGCTAACACATCATTCTGCATTTTTGGAATTGCCTTGGGAAATGTCATGATGAACACCACAATACTATTGGCTTGCCTTACAATCCATAAGGTAAGCCAATAGTATTGTGGTGTTCATCATAACATTTCCCAAGGAAAGTCCAAAAATGCAGGATGGTGTGTTAGCAAACCAGCCCCAGCAGATTTCATCTCTGCCAGGAGCAAGTCCTTTCATTATGGTCATCTTTTTCAAATGATGACCATGATGACCATTATGGTAGGGAAAGCTCAGAACAATGTATTGCTGATGGGAGAAACTGTAAGCTGTCATGGAACAGGTTTGGGGGATCTAGCTTGAATCCTGGGTCTGCCTTTTTGCATACTGTCCAGTCCTTTTTGATGCAGGAGGTGCTAATGTTAACTGGTCTAAATAAAAACCAGAGAAGTGGTGTCAGGGTGTGACCCAACGAGGGCCAGACTGTGACAAATGTTGCTGTTATAATATTGTTATGTCTGAGTTGTTAGCATTCAGTCCTATATGCTACTTGTGTAATGGTCAGGTTTTAGTGCACAGAGACTGTAGGGAGTGGCAGAGGACATTACCATCCTTGCCAATTAAAATATATTGGCGCTCTGACCCTGTGTGCTCCCTGGCTCCACTACACCACTGGCCCTGCCACGTGGGAACGTTCTCCAAACATAGCAGAACTGATGAAGAGAAAGCAACAATGTCTTTCAGATAACATTTGCCATACATGTTGGGTTGGGGAGGTGTTATCTCAGCAGGTGAACAGGTATTTAAGGACGTTATCACACATGGGCCAGAAAGTGATAATAAAGTGGAAATGAGGCATTCTGAAAATAAACCGAAAATAAACCTTGATTCCGCAAATGGCTTTCACATGTAATTACCTTAATTGCAAAATTACAGTAAGCGCATTTAAGGTTCACACACAAGTGAGAAAAGCCCGTAAATGTACTAGAAATGATCTTCTTGCACATGCGCAGATAGAGGAATGCTCGCCGTGGAACCATGGGAAAAGCAGGGAAATGCTCCCAAATGTGCATTTGCTTTTCACATTACGGTAAGTGCGAAATTACTGTAATTTCACAAATGCATTTCCTCAAAACTACCGAATTTCAAAAGATCTCGGATAACACCAGTTTCTGTCCAGTTTCTATGCGACATTGTGTGAAATCGTGAATTCCAGTTTCTGTCCGGGATTTGTGTGGATTAACCAGCAGATTTCCCCCGTGTGATAACGTCCTAAGAAAGGTAAGGGACAAAAGATAGGGCACAGTTCAGAAAGAGAGAGCTAAAACAGCAGCCAGACTCAGAAGTAAGGCTGGCACTTTGAAGGTGATGAGTTGGTGCTCTACGTTGTTGGTTTGTATGCTGTTGAAGATGGCCACTCTTGGTTGACAGGTGGAAGTGCTGACTGAGACCTGAGTTGTCCGAGTGCTGTGGTCAGCTAAGAATGATGGGAGCTGGTGTCAAATAACATCTGGATGGCCAGAGTTGCCCAGCCCTGGCCCATTGATTCTAATGAGACAGGATGGAAAATATCAAGATGTTTCATAAGAAAGAAATTTCATCATGGGTTGCCTTAACAAAAGCAAAAGGAAGAACTGAAAGGAAAAGGAAAGGCAAAAAAAAAGTGACGGAAAACAAAAGCAAACCTAGGAAATATGCAGGTACTAGTTAAGGGTTTTCAGTGAATTTCAGGCCAAAAGCAGATGTAGTACAGAGAAAAGGATATGTGTGAGCAGAGGAGGTGGTTGTTCTTTTGAAATAACTGGATGGCAACCATAACCACATGCCCTGCAGTTGACAAAAAGGAACTGTGGGAAAACAGCACCACAACAAATATGTTTTTAACTTAATGGTTAGAAGAATGGGTTGCCGGAGGAAGAAGGGATTGCTTGTCCTACCAGCATCCAGAAAGCTGGAAAGCATTGCTCTTCAGAGAAGACAAGAAGACAACTATTCACGATGCCCATTCAAGAAGAACACTGGCAACAGGACCAGCATGTTGAATTTCCACAGCAGCCATTCAGACTGCTTCTCTAGGCAGGATGGATGAACCAAGAAAGGCCAGTTACAGACTGTTTTTGTTTTAAGTGCACTGAATTTCATTTGGTTCTTGCTCAGACAAGATGAGTTTGGGGGTAGTTATTTTTATTTTTAGCTGAATATACCCAAACAGGGTTATTATGAGGACAAAATGGGATACATACATGAAGGGCTGAGTGCAGCGATGAAGAGGAGAATCCAGCTACAATTAATGAAAGTATCTGAAGCTCACTTGAAAACGGAGTAACATGAATCACTCTGGCCAATGTCCATGATCCCAGTGGTGCAGACCAAATGGATGAAGGCAGGCAACCATGGGGAGGGGGCACATACCAGGAATCCAGTTGGTAGTGTTAGAAGCCTTCTGTATGGAAGCCTCCATGCTTGCAAGAATTACAGTTGTTGTTGTTGTTGTTGTTTGTTGTTGTTGTTGTGTGCCTTCAAGTCATTTCTGATTTATGGTGACCCTAAGGTTTTCTTGGCAAGGTTTGTTCAGAGGAGCCTTCCTTGAGGTTGAGACTGATTTGCCCAAGGTTTTCGTGTTAGAACTGGGAATCAAACCTGATCTCTGGAGTTGTAGTCCAACACTCAAACCACTATGCCACACTGGCTGACTGTATCCCAGTATCATTATAAACCCTCTTTCTGCATATGAGGCTTTTCTACAAGTCCCTGGACCACTCTGTGTTTTTCTCCATCTTTGGGCAATGCAGATTTGTCTGGCTTGAAGGGCCATATCCATGCTGTATGTCCAGTGCGCTACTCCCCACAGACATTGAGCTGCATTTCCAGTCCAGAAAGCACTTCCTGCAATTTACTGTAGGGTTGAACAGGGCAGAGGCTTCAGGGGAATATAAAGTTATTCTTATCCCTAACTGTGGCTTCTCGTCCTTCTGAAGTTGGGAACAATTCCCAGCCCTCATTTAGATTGTTCCCTTGGAGAGATTTAAAGGTTTCGCTGGAGACCTGAACCTAAGCTGTTCCATCTCTCCCTCCGGCTATATTTAGCTCTTCCTATCCCTCCTTAGAAGTCAGCCTCTCTGCCCTCCCCTAAGAGTCTTCCAGAAGCTTAGCAACCTCTCTGCCTTTCTGTAAGGGACCATTGTGTTGCATGCAGGAGACCCTCCCTCAATAAAAACCTTGAGAAAGGGGCTTTCCGGTTTCCCCTCATAGGAGTTTATCACACAGGAGGGAATCGGTCAAATCCCATGCAGAAATGGGATTTAAATCCACAAAAGTGGGATCGTTTTCAGACACATTGAGCATTATTAAAATGTATTATTATTATTATTATTATTATTATTATTATTATTATTCCAAAATTAACTCACACAGAAAGTGGACAAATCCCACAAATGCGGGATTGTTTTCAGACACATCGGGGTTATTGAGCATTAATCCAATATTAACCCGCACAGAAAGTGGACAAAATTGGCTGCTTTTTACTTTCAGGATTTTTGGGAGGAATATCATCCATGTTTGCTTGGATGTCTGGCCAGTGTTGCTAGTATGTGTATGTGCCTTCAAGTCAGCTGTCGATTTAATGGCAACCCCATGAATTTCATAGGGTCTTCCTAGGCAAGAAATCCCCAGGGGTGGCTTTGCCAAGTTCCTTCCTCTGAAATATAGCCTAAAGCACCTAGTATTCGTTGGCCATCTCCCATCCAAATACCACTCTGCATAGCTTCCAAAATCAGGCAGGTTATGGTGTCTTTAGGACATTTAGGCCCTATTCCCAAGTAAATACTCTTATAATCTTAAACATAAAGTGTAACAAGTCTCTGACAGCCAGTATGGTGTAGTGGTTTCAGTGTTGGATGATGACTCTGGAAACTAGGCTTCAAATCCCAGCTTGGCCATGAAACCCACTGGGTGACCTTGGGCAGTTCACACTCTCTCAGCCTCAGAGCCATGGCAAACCCTCTCTGAACAAATCTTGTCAGGAAAACCCCATGATAAGGTCACGTTATGGTCACCATAAATGGGAAACAACTGGAATGCCACACAACAACAATAAGAGGAGGTCTCTGTTGTTGGTTTTAACCAGACTGGACAGCCCTGGGACCGCTGGAAAGAAAAAGGTTTGACCAAAAGTTCTTGATCCCATATGCTGTTCACAGTGTGAACTGGAGATATTTTCTGCTATTCAAAATAATACCAACTTTCAAGAGGCACAACTGCCTTTCTCACCTTGAAAGACACTTCTGCATTGGAGGGTGGTTTGAATGTTGGACGACAACTCTGGAGGCCAGGATTCAATTCCCCGCTCAGGCATGAAACCGGTGGCAGGTCAAAATATTTTTATGCTGTCAGGCTTTTACAAACAGTATAAAATAGTTTTATGTGGTGTGATGCTGTTTTTAAAGGGCGTGTAAGCCAGCATGGCATATTGGTTTGAGTGTTGGACTCTGACTCTGGAGACCAGGCTTCGAATCCCAGCTCAGTCATGGAAACCCACTGGATGACCTTGAACAAGTCACATGCTCTCAGCCTCAGAGGAAGGCAATGGCAAGCCCACTCTGAAGAAACCTGCCAAGAAAACCCCCTAATAGGTTCACCTTAGGGTCACCATAAGTTGGAAACAACTTGAAGGCACACAACAACAATAAAGCTGCTTCTCCCCCATCACAAAGTTACAATTCTGTTTTCCCCTATTTATTTCATTTCATTTCTATGCCACTTTTTCCCCAGAAAGGGACCTGAGATGGCCCACAGATAAAAACTGTCGAAAACTTTATAAGTAAACAATAGAAACAATTAAAACCATCTAGCTAAAAGAGTCTAAAATTATATGAAACATACAATAGTTTAAAAAAACATAACTAGAACACACACCCCATATAAAAGATTCTCTAACAACAATTATATATTAAAAGCCTACTGAAAGAAAAAAGGGCTTCGCCTGCTGGTGAAAGGAAAGCAAGAAGAGAGGTCAACCCAGACTCTTGTGGAAGGGAGTTCCAGAGGCTGCTCCCACCTTATAATGGCCAGTCTTTGTCAACCTTTTTATCGTTTTCTTTTCTGTGGATTTATTGGCAGATTTTCGGTGCATTCATTGGCAGATACCCTGAGCACAAACTCACAAAGTGGATAGTTATGGTGACCCTATCCTAGGGTTTTCTTGGCAAGATTTATTCAGAGGAGGCTTGCCATCACCTTCCTCTTAGGCTGAGAGAGTGTGACTTAATTTCCCAAGATGACCCAGTGGTTTTCAATGGCTGAGCAGAGGGGATGTAAACCTTGGCCTCCTGGAGTCCTAAGCCAACACTTAAACCACTACACCACAGTGGTTCTCTTGCTTGGTAGAAGTAGAAATAGTGGATTGAGTACAGTAAGTGCCTTGTTAACCATAAACCAGAATTATTGAAATTGCAAATTAAGTATAAAAGCTCTGGAGGAATGAAACGGTCTTTGTGTGGTGCCAAGAACAACAAAGTAGGTGTGTGGTGGAGCTTTCTGGGAAATGCATTCCTTGTCTAAAGTGCTACCACTGAGCAGATCTTTTTCCTGGTGGCCACCTGCCAAACTTCATATGGCAGAAGAACTCAAGAAGGCCAGGGATGGGTACATTTGGAGACAGTCAGTCCTTCAAGCCTCTGGTATCACAGTTTCCTAGTCTCTTCTTGTGACCGAGACATCCCATAATTCACATCAGCAGTAGAGAAAATAGCAAGCCACCATGGGCATCCTCAGAAGACTTGTCTTCAAGACTGGGTTTACAGTCTTGCCATGCTCCATTGAATGGTCCAAGGTGAGTGTCACTGCAAACAGGAGCCCCAGAGTAAGGAACAGGAGGCAGTTGGGTCACCTTGACAAGGAGTCTGACAGCCATGTGCATTGCTGACCAAGCAGCCACAAAGGGTCCAGGACAATCCAACATGGCCATGGCATCCACAGAATGGGGAATAGGGGGAGTCCTGTGGTGCCTCATGAGACAAAAAGTGCTTTCTCCATCAACCATCTTCAAGAATTTTCAAGGATCCATGCATGCATGCATGCATCATAATCATCAACAACAACAGAAGAGAATGACACAGTGATTCTGAAAACTGAAGGACCCTGCCAGTTTATGTCATTTCTGATAATGACCCCCTGCTTACACACAGAGAGAGTGGAGAGACATAATGAATGTTTTACTTTAGGTTGGAAGACCATGAGCAAAAAAGAAAGCATCTGGAAATGGCAGGTGACACTTTCAGAGGGCAAAGAATGAGAAGAAGATGGAAATGTGATCAGAAGCAGGCTTTGAAGTGGGAGGTTGGTTCTCAGAGAGCAGTTTCTTTTCTGAAGCTTGTTCTGTTCTGCGAGTCCTCTTAAACTCTTCAAGTTTACCTAATGCAGCTTGGCTGCTAAGGTATTCCTCATTGACAAGGTTGTCAAGTCATGTCCAACCATAGGGGGTGGTGCTCATCATTACTAAGCCAAAGAGCCAGCATTGTCAGGGACTACTCTGTGGTAATGTGTCCAGCATGATTGCACAGAACGCTGTTTACCTTCCCACTGAAGTGGTACCTATTTATCTCCTTGCATTTGCATGCTTTTGAGCTGCTAGGCTGGCAGAAGCTGGGACTAGTGACAGGACCTCACCCCATCATGCAGCACCCAGCCCTCGAACTGCCAACCTGCCAATCTTGCAATTGACAGAGTCAGCATCTTAACCACTTGAGCCACTGCATCACCAGATTGGCTGATATACTTTTATAATCACTACATATTTGTGCTACGGGGTCAGTGATAAAAGGGTGCCCACCTTAATCTTTTGTCCAAGTGTGTTTATAGACAGAAATTTCTTATCTGTGCTGTCCAGCACGACACGATAATTTAAGGCAAATAGATCTATAATAGCACACTGAATGTGGGGAGGGGCAAACTAGCAAGTGCAAATAACTCCCTTTGAAAAGCTCCCACAAACATGAGACCGTGTTGACCCCGATTTGTCTCAACAGGACAAATCCACCAGGCTTACATGAAAAGAATAGGCTGGGGAAAGGGAAGATGGAAGGAAGCCATGCATGGGGTGCACACACTACCTTTCTGGGATGGCAAAGACCTTTGCAGTGCTCTTTTCCTTGCTGAACCAACCACTCCCTGAATCAATCAAATAATGTGATTTCTAACACCAGACAATTTTACTGAGATCATCAGGTGAAATGCAAAACACTTAGAAAACATCCTGAAAGCTGACACTCACCTTGGCCCATTATGTACCAGGTGTAAGCAGCTTTGAAGCTGAAAAGATTTGTAAGAATGGAAGTGGGGAAAAGTCTGTCATGAATGATGAGTGAGTCCTCCCTTAGGACGTTATCCCACGGGGGAAATCTGCTGGTTAATCCACACAAATCC